CAACACACCTGACCTCCCCGCCTCAGCTTCGGACCACAAACATTGAGACAGACTGGAAAGGCCTTTAGCAGGGACACAATAAACCATGTCACTAACACCACACATGGGGCTTAGGGAGGGAGGGCCCAGCGGAGGGAACAGAGTCTGAGGCCCCCATGCAGGCTGAGAGCTGGCATGGACCCTCAGGCTCCCTGCCCATTTGCAGTGTGTTTAAAAAGAAAAACAAACAAACAGAAGTGACAGGAGCAGGCTGGGTGCTGGGAGCCACTGTCCCTCCTACACAGTCCCCATCTGGGTGAGTCTCAGCAGTGCCCCTAGATTCTGCAGAGGTGCCAGAGCCATGGGGCAGGATCAGGACCCAGGCACGCAGGCTTTGGAGTGCAGGGTGGTGCGAGCTGACTGGGCTCAGGGCTCAGTCTGGCACCTGGGCCTCTGGGCCACACCGCCTTGCTGCCCCTGGGTCCAGGGGACACTGGTCTGGTTTCTTTAAGCTCTCCCAGTCTTGGGCCCTCTCGGCTGGAGCCAGGCTTCCTGCCCTGTAACACCTCCTGACTCGGGCCCAGCTCTGCTGCTTGTTGGCCATGGGTTTGGGGCAAGTCCTATCAGGTGCGCCTCTGTTTCCCTGGATGTGAACACAGTCATGTGCCAGCCACCGGTGCAGGGGGACTGCGGGAGCCAGCTCAGCAAGCTCGGGAACACAGGGTCCTCCCACGTGCACAATAGCTAGGCCACACGAGCACGAAGAGCTCAAGGTGTGTCTGCCATCGCCTGAGGAAGCGGCCGCAACCAGAAATGCTTCCTGTCCTGACCCTGCACCAGAGCCAGCGAGGGGGAACCAGGGACCCAGCCACTGTTGCCAGCATTTCATCCCCATAGCAGCCTCAATAAACTGCAGCACGCATCATGGACACCTGGAAAGGGAGAGTCGCAGTCCACGATGGGCCAGGACGCCAGCCCACGCCATCCAGCTCCGGATGCTAGATGCGGACCACGGTGCCCTGCCGCCCCTGTGCCAAGTAAGAGTCTGTGGAAGGTAATTAGCCCTCAGAGGAAGGGCAACCTTTCAGAGCGTGTCCATGAGGAGCAGGACACGCACAAGAGGCCCATTCATCAAATCTCTGCTCTTAAACATGGGGAAACTGTGGCCAGGAGGGAGGAGCCCTTGCCCGGGCCAGTGCCACATCGCACAGCTCCACGCGCCACACTCTGGGGTCTCACAGAGCCTCCCCTGTCCCCAGCCCACACAGAGATGGCCCCAGACAAGACAGAAAGCTGCACACTGCATGCGGGACACCACACCATTTGGGTGACGGACTCGCTCTGGAATGGACAGAAGTGGTAGCCCTGGGACTCTGTGGACAGAGGTGGTGGCTGTGGGACTCTGTAAATGCGCTTAGGGCCCTAGAAATAGGCACTTGGCAGTGCTTAGAAGGCCAAATTCTATGGCAGTGTTTTTACCAGTCTTAGAAAGAGAAGGGCCAGACAAATAGCTCAGCTGATTAAAGTGCCTGCAAACAGGCACAGGGGCCAAGGGTTCAATCCCCAGGCCTGCTGTGCTGATCCCGCCCCCGGGGCTCGCTGAGACAGCAATGGAGACTGGGCATGGTGACGTTCACCTATAATCCCAGCTGGAGTCCAATTAAGAAACGGAAAGAGAAAAGGAGACTAGCCACTGTACACCTGGCCAGCTCTGTCTGCTGGTGCCCAGCCTTGTGGCCCAGCCGGCGCCAGCAGCTAGTTATCCATTAAAACCCAACTGGACTGAGCCAGGAGTAATGATGTGCAACTACAATCCCAACTTGTGAGAGGCTGAGGCAGTAGGGTCTCTAAGAATTCAAGGCCAGCCCGGACTATGGCGAGTTCAAAACCAGCCAGGAATATACAACAAAGTCCTGTCTCAGAACATCAAAACAGCAAAGCCATCTGAGCTGGAGGAAGACTGTGAGCAGCGAGCAGGGGCTCAGGTGCACAGCAGCAGGGCGGGTGGGGACGTCACCAAGGGCTTGCGCAGTCCGGGCAGGGCGCCGACCGTACTCTAGAAGGCAGCCGCCAGCCCAGACCTACAGAAGTGGGTTTTGTGCCTCCTCGCCCCAGAGCCCCACTCCCGAACATGGTCTCCAAAGAAAACATTCCACAGAAGACAGGCGAGCTGCCCTGCTGGAAAGGCTGATGAGCACATTATTTATAAAAATAAAATCGGAAGCCACTGGTGAGGCCCAGAGCAGGGAACACGCACGTGTGAAGCGGGGCGCTCCGCTCCAGGCAGGCACTCACGCCGCTGAGCTATGTCCCTGGCCCAGGGCGCTGTGCTCCAAGAACAGCAATCACAAAGACCCGGCCATAGGGGGCTGGGGAGATAGCTCCTAAGTGCTTGCGTTCGATCCCTGATACCACAAAAAAAAAAAAAAGAAAGAAAGAAAAGAAAAAGAAAAAGAAGGAAGGAAACTTTAAAAATAAAAACCTGCAGAGGAGCTGCGGCCTGAGTGACCCGCTGCCCACAACAGCAGCCCGCAGGCAGGAGCTGGCGGGCGCACGGCCACGTGCCGGTCGGGGGAGGCTAGCCTCCTCTCCACAGCAAGGTCGACGTCTCAGCGCTTTCCTCTCATTGCTGAGACAATATCTGACGCCTAAAATTAAAGAAGGAAAGGTATTTAGCGCACAGTTTGTGAAGTCTCAGGCCGCACTCGGCTAGCTGCGGCGCAGGGTGGTGTGGTGAAGGGCAACAGTTAAAGGCCACAGAGCGAGCCTCCGGGCTCCCCACGCTACCCAGGCAGGTGTGGCACTCACCCCCGCCTCGGCCTCCTCTCGCCCAGGCTCAGGACGCTTGCAGAATGAGGACCCTGGGCCCTGCTGCGCCACTTAGTCAACCTAAACTTCTCAAGGTGACACAATGAACAACACCCTAGATACAAGGGCGTGCGGCGCGGTGGCCGCTCCACCCCAGGACGCAGAGCTGCTGAGTCACTCAGGTGAGCGCTGGGCTTCTCAAACTGACACTGTATCAACCATGACAGTTTAGGAAGAACCAGCCACACAGAAAAGTGGCAGGAGAGCCTGAGCCTCCCTTTGGCCCCTCCCGACACACACACTACTGCCTCCTTCCCCCGAGAGCAGACCAAGGAACAGACCCCAGGCTCGAGGTTCGCTATCACACGTGACAAGCCCGGGGAACAGGAAACTGGGAGGCGGGCCTTTTGCAGAAGGGAAGGGATGGGGGAGGCAAGGAAGGGAGGCAAAAGGACCCAGGTAGTGGCCATTCTGGGGACCAGCTCCACACCACGGAAGGTGTTATGGATCGCAAATACAGACCAGCGCGGGGGGGGGGGGGACACACCTGTAATCCCAGCACTAGGGAGGCTGAGGCAGGAGGATCACAGAGTTCAAGGACAGCCTCCAGTACATTTGAAGCAAACGAACAAAACACACAACTAATAAGGACTAACACAAAGTTTTTTAAGAACCACTAGCCTCTCCCAGCCCCAAGGCCCACCCATCACAATGAGGGAGCCAACAGGCTCGTGTTAGCATGAACTCAGCCCCAGACCTCGTTTGGATTTCATCAGTCTCTCTGTCCTCGATTCTAACCCTGGTTACCTCGCCACATGCAGCCACACTCGCTTTGATTTTGTTTTTCACAATGCAGTCCAGTGGCTTTTAGCAGAGGCATAGCTAAGTGAGACATCGGTGGCAGTCAGTTGGACGTTTTCATCCCTTCCAAAAGAAAATCCAAGGGCCAGGGATATAGCTCAGTGGCATAACTGCCTGCCTGGCAAGAGTAAGGTCCTGGGTTCTATCCCTGGTACTGCC